TCTTCCAGAAAACTTCTTTGAAACTTTAGAAAATATATACTCCGGAGTACATATTGTATGCATACTGGTAGAAGATCAAACTTGAAATAGCGGTTTAGATTTCATGGTTCGCCCTTCGGCATGTATGTGTTGTCTATACCCACCGCACGAACAGATCACCCGCCCTATTCAAGGTTTGTGAAGGTTGGGTACCCGATATATGCCGACGAGGAGGGTGTTCAGCTGGTATCCTACCTGGAAGCGAAGCGCTATTTATAGCACCGAGGGAGTCGAATGGTGACGATTGCGGGGCTGGTGTGTGTGAGTCGGGTTCAGACTGCTTTTGGTGCGGTCGCGTCGGATGGAATTCCTTCGTGCCCGCTTCGCGCTCAAAAAAGACTACGAGGTGCAAGGTGGAGCACGGAGAAGAAATATGCGCAAGAAGAACTATATTTGTCTGCGATATGTGTGGCCCTTCTTTGCATGTAATACATTCCGTTCCTTTCTTTTTTCGAGGAGCCCTACGTACGTAAAGAGGGCCCAAGCCAATACAGTCTAAACACCACCGTACCCGGTTGATGCGAAGTATTACGCATCTGACGTGCAATCTATATATAGATAGACTATATAGTACATACATGCGTAGATCGGTCGGCGTGCTGATCGCGCTACTAAGTAGGTACAAATTGTTGTGGTGGCGTTTGTGTGCATTCCGACAGAGACTACCCGTGCGTGGTGAAGACCGCCAACAACGTCTTCGGTAAGCACTTAAGTCTTTCTCTCTCTCTCTACTAGTCTATACAGCAGTCCTACTTGCAGTCCGCAACTAGACCCGCACGTATCATCATATCGGGGAGGGGATGGAAACGCCAGACGATGCTAGTGGCTGCTCGTTCGACGTGCCCCGTCTTCTGAAACATCTTGTCAACGGTTGATGATGCGGGTGTCAACAACGATGGATGGACATTCGTACCTGATGTATGTGGTGGTCCCTCGGCGGGCCAGAGTCCCTGTATCATCGGAAACGACAGGAACGCTCCCCCTGCAGTATATATTTGCTCCAGCAGTCAGTGTGTCGAATGATGATCGATACAACTACTTTATTTTCTCGATGGGGGGGAGCGAAGGCCGCCAAGGCGATAGTGATGAAGAGATCGAATGTCAGCAACACGCGAAAGGCGCCCGTCTAGAGGAAGCAGGTTGTCATCCGTACCATGCTCTCCGCGAAATGGAGGCCACCACCAAATCCAACCAGTCAGTGAGGTTCAGTGTTGGCCGTCGGAATAAAATATAAAGCACTGATCGATGCTTACCGGCAGGTGGCAAGCAATCTATTCATGGTGACCGGCATATCACGAGCACTGATACTTTGTACCGGCGGCAAGCAATACGTTCATTCATGGTGACCGGCATGTCATAAACGGTACCTCCTTCAAGTTCACACATAGATTGGTCGCCTTCGGGCATTTGTGTACCCCAAAAAGTGAAGTGAAAGATAATGCGAGAAGAAGAGAACAACACCCGATCACACAGTGGCAGCTCTGTCCGTATGGAGCTGCTGGTCGCTGAAGAACAGGCCTAGCGGGTCTGTCTGATGGGCGCGGATCTCAGAAATACCCCGGGCATCTACACGTTTTTCGGAGAGAAGGTGGCAGAAGGCGGGTCTACCTGCACGCTCTAATAAATTCCGGCAGCGTGCGGAAAAAAAGGCGCCGCGCTAGCAGCACCAAGAAAATTTCCTGTTTAATTCCGCCGCACGTGGTCAGTAGTTCCGTGCATGATGTGATCAATGATGCATTCCCAGGAACGTTCTCGTGTACGTACGTGAGTACGTGACCGACCGCGGATGAGCCGGTCGGTGCTTGAATAGATCGTATGCATAGCAAACATTCCTGGAAGTTTGGACTGGGCCTACGCCCTACCATACGTTAACGGAGCAGCCGGCATTGGGTTGAGTCGGAGTACACGTTGCGTGGACGTCAGCTTGAAAGGTGCGGTTGGTTGAGGATATGACGGAAATCCGGCGGATCAACCCTTTCTCCGTTGTTACCTGGGCTGCCCATGGGTCTCCCAACGCGTTCCACCTGTATCCATGGGCATCGACGTACACAACAGTCGAAAGTTAAACTGGAAATAAATACACACGCCGTCCGTCTTCTTCTACTACTACCGTCTCTCCTTCCCTGCGACCCTGCACTACGTAATTGCCCATTGAGATCGTGACGTTGTCCACGTGGGCTCCACCTTCTTTTGGTCCACCGGAGAAGAAAAAAAGCGTTCCGCACGTTGTGTGTTCATAGTCTAATAGTCTACACAGCAGATGCCGCATCGGAGGATTGGAGGGTTTTCCTTCGTAACTGTTGACCTCGACGAGATGGCGTACGTGCGTACCTACATGTATCGTACCTACGTACAAGGCGATCTTGCAACGTCTGTGCTGCATTCCATTTTGGTCTAGAGAATCTGGTGAGTCTAGACTGCAGGGTGCTGCTTTTGTCCAGCAGTAGTCTCGACAATCTGCAGCCTCGGCAATCGCGAAAACTTCGAAAACATTAGGACTCCTTCAAATACATGCACACCTTCCGCTGAATCTGTGACGCACTTCAACTAGAGAAATGTATACTCCTTGCATTGGTGCGTATTTTCATCGCATCGACATATCCTGAGTGCCAAGAAGCACGATGACCACTACACAGCAGTGTAGTAGACCATCTGTCAGCATCACAGGGATGGCAATCCTGCCTGGGGGGACGTGTTCGTGGCTTGAAAGAACCCTTGACGGATTCGGGCACAAAACTTTTGTTAAGAAGCACGATGACCACTACGACATAGACCACTGCTGTGTAGTCAGCAGTAGTCATCGCACTGAACACCAAGCTCTACAGTAGCTTCGGGGTATTTTTGATACATACCAGCTGGGGTTACCTTCTTCGGGGTAACATAGGGTTCCCACGTTCCCACAGACAGCAGGAGTTACTGTACATAGCATACTACCATCCCAGTCTCCGCTCTGTCAGTACCGTTTAACACCTGTACTGGTCACACTATCGTGGCGCCTTCCGTGGTCGCAGAATAGCTACCCAAGAATCAAGGGGCCGCCTTCGCTAGAAGCCCTAAACCCTAAGGCATGCTCATCCAACATGTTTTTTTATTGTCTTTGCTCAAATCAGCGCTCACAGCACTTGTTTGTGCCGTTTGCTCCAACGCTCTGACCCGTGGTCACACAGAAGGGTTCCTCTCCCTGGGGGTCCCTACCCACCGGTCGGTACTTTGCCTTCGATTTTTGATGCGAGAAGAGTCCAGCACTCTCTTCCCTCTGTGTACACACGAACTGTAGCGCTTTCCACCGGGGCCAGGAACGGAAGCGAGAGAAAAACTCACGTTGCAAGAAATGCTCGCATACATACGCCGGGAGTCGAATCCCTGACTCTGACCATTAGAAGGTTTTCGAGGATACCAACTGACTACCGGGGCGACCGATATTTTGCTTCACAGCAATCGCGTCTTGGAGGACCTTTCTGGGGTCCATTTTTATTTTGTTTTTTTCTAGTCTAAACGAGTCGTCCCTTTTTTGCGGGTAGTTGGCTTGTGACCACGGAAGGCGTCCGCGTCAGTTGGACCAGTACCGACATACTAGAAGGTACTGAGCGGAGACTGGAAGACCACAACAACAACAACAATAGAAAAAAACTGCGAAGGATACTGAATCAAAAGAAGGTACACAGGTGTAGTATTGCCGTGCTTGCCGAAAACCCTGAACCCTAACCCTAAGGCACCCATGGCCCATGGGACACGCGGAGGACGTCAATGAACTGTCATTCATCGCCGTGAGTAAAAAAACGATCAGTAGCCCCCACCCACCTATATTTGTAGGCAATATATGTCTAGTCTATTCGTCCGGGTCACAGATCGCGTGGGATGCCCCGGAGGATGCCCCAGGGACGTCCCGGTGGGGCGACCCAAGCGTCCAGTGAGCCGTCCGCGTGGGGCGTCCCATGCGACCTTCCATGGGACGCCCCGCGCGTCCAATGCGACTTCCCAATTGCACCATCGTTCCATGGGACGTCCCACAACTGTAGGACCAGCGGAGGTTGCGATGAATGGCCGACTTGAAGTTGTCTTGTTTCTCGAGCGTGTGCCCTCGTAGGATAGGTTGGTCGGTATCCACGGAACCGCTTGGTATACGTGTCAGTTTAAGCGGCGGATATTCGATGGAACAAAATAGAGACCGGAACGTTTTGTTAATACGTTAATACGAAGAAGACAGCAACAACAATAACAACAGTATCAACAAGATTGTGCTTGTCTCACAGTACTTTAAGTCATCAAACGGACGTGTCCATAATCAACGGAATACGATTTTCAAAATAATACAACACTCAATATCTCGTTCCCACTTGGCAGACGCTTCAAGGCAATTTATATTTCCTTCGGTACACTATGTACATGCCACGTGCAGTGTTCTCTATTTGACGGACACTGCGGAAGGACTAGCTAGCGCGATAAGACTCCGCCGAAGGTCGTGGTGGCCTCCATGTCGAAATACTGCTGTGTAAAAAAACAATGTGAGCCTCAGTACGCTCTTCTGTTGCGTATATTTGGTCTGGAACATTCGGATAGCAGTGCACCTTCCCCAGCTATATTTATATACACCCACCCGTCCAACCGACGCCCTGTACAACGACGAAAACCTGCCCCTACCCCCACCCATTTCAACTTCTCACCTCAAAGAACTCGTGTGCAGCAACCTTCATTCTCTGGAGGGAGTGTTGGGGGTACATGGATTTATTCCAGTGGTTTGTTATCTGATCGGTAACATCGTTGCAGTTAGACTCTAATGGAGACCGGCCGTCGTCTCGCCCTCTCCCCTGCTGCCTCTCTCCAATACTTCCAGCGGCCACTCGTCGTCTCTTGCGGTCAGCATTGGGCGCGTTCCGCTTTGCAAGAAGCTGGAATTTTTGCCTACGACGTGAAAACTCGTCGTCGTGCCGTGGGTACCCCGCGTGGAGCAGTCTGCAGTCATGGTGGAGAGGCAAAGGAGGGCGGCCGGTGCGAACCTACAGATCGCTGGCTGCCAGATCCCTGGCTTCCAGAGCCCTGGCTGCCCAAGCGATGAAGACGAGCTCCTGTACGCTGATGAGGAGGATGCCGGGCCTGATACTCTAGCCAACGCCATATTCAGCCGCCTGTTTTGCGTCGCCTTTGACAGGTATGTTTGACATTTGCAAATCGAGACAGACAGGAAACATATCGATATGCCTTCGCACGCTTTTGGGGCGACAGCTGTTGCCAAAATGGTTTGGTTTTCCCCGCTCGAGGCGCTTTCTAGCATGTCTCCGGGAAGGGAGCTTTCAGAGAAGGGTGCTGAAGCGCCAATATACTTAATTGCTAACGTACATGCATTCTTGGACATGTCGGTGGACGTCGATGCACGCATGGATACGTCTCGGCGGGCGTATTCGTGAGCGTAAAATTATGATCTATCAATCAACACAGCAGCCGTGCATGGCTTTTTTTCCCAGAGTATGGGATTCCAGACTACTGTACGTCCATACGAAAAACATAGGGTTCTCGAACTGCCGCCGTCACGCAGCATTTGGGTTTGTAAACAACGCACGCGAATGTCATCCCCTGAAGCAGATACCTTTCGTGTTTACGAACACTGCGGCAGGTGTGTTTATCCGCCGGCATGGATCTATGAAGACGAGCTAGACAGCACGCCTGGAGCACTACCGCCCCTTTCCGACCACAACCCGCCTGGTGAGAGTCGCGCTCGAAGCACTAGTGGCGACAATGAGAGCGGAGAAGTAGCAGCGGAGGACACCAAACCGTTGTACGACGTCATCCTCGAAGACGACAACGATGACAACACGAAGACGATGGCGATGAGGCCGGGCAACCCATGGCGCGCCCCCATGGTGGCACCGCCACCATCACCTCTTGCTCAGTCTCCTCGTCGGCGATGGTCCGACGACCACGCCGCTCGCGTTGCCAGCACCGCGTTGATGGGGGACCTGGACGAATGGCCGCTCACGGTCCAGGCGCCGCCTAGCGACCCGCACCGTCGACGATCTGAGCCGCACGACAGGCGGTCGGCCGTCGCGATGTACAACGACGCACTTGTTTCTCCGGCCTGTTCCAGTAGGAACGACAGGGGCAGCAGAAGCAGCAGAAGCAGCAGCAGCAGCAGCAGCAGCAACGGTGAGGATCCGAAGATAATGCGAGGGGCTCCTTGGCGGGAGGACGACTACCTGACAGGGGACATGCCGGGTGGGGTCGGAGGCACAGATTGAACCCGCACCGATTTCTCCCTGGTCTTGATGGCCCAGCTCGTGGTTTGTGTGGCTTTGCACTGCCACGGGTGGGCGTGTGTGCTCTCTGCCTGCGTGTGGTTTCGGATCAGGCGATTTACTGACAGTCCCGGGGTTGCTTCGGAGAACTGTCGACATGCATGCGGCAAAATAAGGTCCCGCTGGACACCGTCACGAAAGCGTGAGGGAAGGGGAAGTAGCATGGGGTAATGTTGTATTATAGCAACGACAAATGCTCTCTCAGCAGACACGCAGGTAAGAGGGGCCTGTAAACGCCCATTGCTTTTGGTGTGGCGAAAGAGTTTCCGACATGCTTTCTTAGGAGGGGAGGGGCGGGGGGCGAACTCCACGGGGGTCACGATATGTGGCGTTTTTGTAGTCAATGGATATCCAGATTTATGAGGTTGACCGTGACTTGTTCGTTCCTTAATGGTGTGGTGCTGGTTGGCCAACCTGCACGGGACGATAGGTGCGGTACGCCGGATGCTGAAACTATATAGCTTTCTACTTCGGAATAATCCGTCAAGCCAAGTTTTGGGTTGCATGGGAGAGAAATGGGGGGATCACGGTGGTTTTGATCCGGGGCGGGGATGGGGACGAGCGGATCGAAATAAACGCCGAACGCCGAACGAGGGAATTGTCAGAATGGGCGATCAAGCTCTGTCGGCGATGGCTGTAGTAGACGAAGCGAAGACTCTCGTCTTGAGCTGTGCGCGTGCAGAAACCTTGCTCCAGGAGTCAATTGGGTGTCTGTCGGGACAAACGTTGGACTGTTCGGGGAATGCGCGGGAATTCCAAAGGACGAAACGTCCGCAACAAGTAACAAGTGGAGGAAAAAATGTTTTTTTTCCCAGACGACTGTGACATTTCCAACCACATGGGATATCAAAAATTCGGTAGATGGTGCCCAGCGTGCGCTATTCAAGGCTTCTGAGGACAGAAGCAGGCACACTTTCATTTTAAAAATGCACATCTTTGCGATGCTCGTGGCGAATGCGGGGACGGGGGCGGGTTAGCAACGCGAAGTAATATGGCATCACGTGTGAAATTATTGGCGTTATGTGCAGATCTTGTAACAATACTGGTGGGAACCTAGAGAGAGGGAGAGAGAGAGAGAGAGAGAGAGAGAGAGAGAGAGAGAGAGAGAGAGAGAGGGACAGTTGCATATTCAGCGTACTTTTTGTCCCGGGCTTTCCTCAAGGTGGGGATGTGAATTTTGTACACTGTGCGTACTGTAATTTGCAATATACATGTTGTATCGTGCTACGTATGCTCGATAGGAACACGTAAGTACATCAGGGTGACGGTGGAATTCGTTCGTGGGGAACGGTTTTCTTTGGCAGGCGGTCACACAGGGCTTGCGGAATTTTGTGACTTACGGCGAAAAAAATAATGGCAGGTACAAAAATATGCGCTCGCCACCTTACGTTCTCGCAGGGATGTCGCTGATTTCCTGTTTTGTACGAATTACAGATAAATCCAGGAGGACCTGTTGAAAAAACCCATGCGTGTGCTGTCAAAAACATGTCATTCCGGAACCGGCGCGTACCTCTTGAGGAGTCGTATCGGCACTCGACCGAACAGCGGGGTGAATGTGTTGGACAGACAATCCTCGTTCTAAGGCATGCCCCCTAAGCGGTTCCCGTCATGGACATACAACCGAAATCCCATCAAGGGGTGCCCATCATGGGTAAATGGGTTGTTGGTCGTGGGAATTTCCACGGGCTCCCTATGGTAAGCTTGCTCAACCAATGGGGTGCCAATGGTGAGCGTACCCCATCAATGGTGTAGGCAAGAAGACATCCCTTTCTAAGAACTGCCCATCTTGCCCTGTGAAGGTGTAGCACGGGTAGCAGTCAACGCTTGAAATCGGTTTGAGGCTTGGACAACAGATAAATGCAGATGTCGGGTCGAACCCAAAGGATCGTCGGATTTCTTCGGATATTTTCCCGCCAAGGGAAGCTGCGCTGTGAAGGGTTCCGTGGAGAGTGGTGGACATGGCGAATGTCGACGACGTTTGCCGCAGGATCTCGTCCATGTATACATTCACAGAAGTCATGAGGGCTTCCATGACTTCGACGAGCTTCCATGATCTTCGTTAATTCCATCCCGGGGGTTACACAGTTGTCATCGAAAAATTACACGCATGAGAACCCCCTTTTTCGCAAGGGTTCTCCGATCGGTCGAGGGTAAGCTAACAAAGGTGTCCCCGACTTCTACCGTAATTCGCCCCCCCGCCTCCCATATTTTCTGGTGGTCACAACTGACTGGACGTCATGTGCGTACGTTGCGCATGCATCACATCGGATTTGACGTCGACACTGAAGCGCTTGCTTTACGCTGAGGTTCCAAAACCAAAACCAACATCAATCAATACTGAACAACATCGTTGGGGGTTCGTCTTCCACGGACCTGCAGACCTGTGCCGCTCAGAGGAGGTAACACTTGCAGACACGTGGTGACCGCCAATCCGAAGTATCGCTGGCTGTCTTGACACCGCAAAACCGTGCCGACAAGGCCTTTCACGCTGTCTCTAGGCATCAAAAAGAGCGTACTCCTTCGCCTACATCTACATAGTGTCGCCGGGGGGGGGGGGGGGTCTGTGGGCTACGCTCCATAGATCATTGATGGCGCATAGCAGGTCCGAGCGCCTGATGATGACCGCTGTCGCTGTTGACCACCAGGCAATTGTTGAAAACCACTTCAACCGTGCTTGACAGCCGCTTCGTCGGTGCACCCAAAGGGGTCCTGGCTAACCTTCGGTGGGCGACCGACCTACCCAGCCGGCACGACTTTCCCCTGTTTAGCGGCACCAGCAGGTGCATCCTTGATGAGGAAAGTGCATCAATAGACATTCAAAGACGACACCACAAGCGAATTGCAGTGGATTACTGGTCAAGATGGAAGTTGCCCGTCTCTGTCGACCTTCATTCTGATTCGTGTTCTTCGCACGAGGCGTAGGCGTCGATTGACCACCATAACTGTGAGTAAATCGCAAGCTTTATTGTGACCACGGGACAATCACTCGCTGAATTATGTACAGTTCTGGCCCGGAAAAGGAGGGATTTCTTGGTTGACTTCGACGTTTAGCTTGTGAGCGGCCTTGGTCTATGGGCTGAGGCGTACCTTCTTCTCATGCACATGTACAGTAGCAAGGTTAGAGCAGCAGTGACCGATCCCTTGTCTCCGACACGCGTCTGGCGTGTCGAATGGTATAGGATGACGATAGAAACCTTCACCTCCAACGACGTTCAGCCTACCGGTACGTGCATGGTCGAATTTCTCTCGCCCGTGTCGCCCGACGGCCGGGAGTCCAGAGGCAGCAGCGACAACGCCACCGGGACAAAGGCCACACCGTGAAAAAACTGGAGAGATACAACGGGCGGGATGCAGCAGATCGCGACGCGCAGAGGATGCAATTACCAGGAACATTTCTGCACTTTTTGCTGCATGTTTTCATATTTCCCACCCTGGAACTGCCCATCGAGGCGAAATCAAGGGCCGTGTACAATCGCCGCGAAACAAACGTTGGCACCGAAAATTGAAGTTGAGTCAGATCAAAAACATTCTTTACCGACTACCCTTGTTTTCGACGACAGTACAGCCGAAATAGTGCTCGAGCGGCCACGCGATCACTTCAGGCGGAATTGTCTAGGTACCGGTGGTGGCGTTTAGACCCCCAAGTTGACGAAGACCGTTGCACTAATGGGACTTGCGGGTCGTTGGCACTCACGAAACGAAACCTTTCCTAATAGGGCCTGGTTGTACTATCTTCGATGGCAGCGTCTACCTATCTTAGACGTGTTGTGGGTCGTCCTTCCAAACAGAAGAGCTCTCGTCCGTGGTACGCAGCATGTTTAGATTGCGGCCGATGCCTCTAGGCCACTTCTTGGGGGGTACTGTATGGGAGAGGCTCTGCGTCTTACCCCAAAGCCGATGATGATCAAAAACATCTTGAAAAAAACTCGAAAAACATGGTTGGCCGCGAACGCCATGGGTGTGATTCCCAGGAATGTTGTCGCCGCTCCAACTACTACAGACGGGCCTATCTCGCCGAGTCCATCCGCTATCCGAACGTCTTTGTCCCTGTCGGGGTCCTGACATTTTAGTTGTGGAAACGAGCAGTGGGGTAAGGGGACGGGGCGAGGGGATGCGACAGCGTGTTCGTTGTAGATCATGCTGTTTGTCGTGGTGTTTTACTGGATGGACTCATGAAAGTTTCACACCAACCTTCCAGAACGTCTGAGTTCTTGGTAACCTTCCTATTATAGTGGTTTGTAGTGGTGCGTCCGCCCGAATCGTTGAGCTAAGGAAAGGCCAATCTTTCAGAGCGTTGGGCAACACTGCTTTGAATAGCTGGTTTGAGCAACTCGTCAACGGGCACACAGTGGATTGCTTTCGACAGAAAGTAAGGCAGAAGACGGACAAAGAGAAATCCAGGCGACACCCAGAGAAACGTTTTCAGCGACTGCTCTGTGTCATGGCCACCCGTATCGGCGTATTTCCATCCCTGCCTTATTGCCCTGCAGCAAGAGTTATCCCATGCTGTTGTCGACACGTCGGACCCCGCATCGAAACGTATCCCTTTTTGTTGTTGAAAAACAGTTTTTTTCGATAGAGAGAGGAAACTAACGTGTTGAAGCGGTGGGATAAAACGTGGTACAGTAGACCATCGTACTTGTAAACAATTCCCATTTATCATGGCCTTGTCCTAGGCGCATCGAGTTCGAAGCACGCGATTATTTTCTTCAGCTCAACAGTAGCGTTAGCTTATACGTTCTGGTGTAGATTCTGCCAAGGATTGAGCAGCGTCCTTCCATTCATTCCCGTGCTTTTACGTTACTACTTTAGGAATAAAAAACCATTCTTTGACTTTGAATCGATCGAAAGTGCTTTCACGGCACGGTTACGATCCACACCCGGGGTCAGGACATGGACAAAGCCACATGATGGCAACAAAGTGCCACCTAGAACAAGAATGGTAGCGTCGGACACCCACAAGAGGTCACCTGGTGCAAGAAGTAGTGAACGATGTGGACCATGTAGTCCACCACCAGTCCTACGGCCATGATCAACTCTGCGGGTGCACACGTTGCACCGCACAGAAAAGAAATGGAGGGTTGTATTGCCGCGGCGTTACTCTAGAATATACAATCCCGCTCAAGTATGTCAAGCGACCAGCATGAGTCCGCTTTGTCGTGTCAAGACCGACTTCTACGCTAGCACGGTCTCGTGCACGCTCTATTTGGCTTGGAGTCACGCACGCGACTCGGCCCCTTGCACTTCCTCGCGCGGCTCAAGATCCTAACGCCACTCTCTTCGATCCTCGAGAAAGTCGGTCGCCTAGATTTCTTGTGGCTTGAGTAATGAGGTTTGCTCGTACAGGTGTAGTGGCACCGATGTGAATAGCGCAAGCGAAATCCTGGATGTTCATTGTTACTTGCGTGGCGGTCTCTCTTGAGCCGAAAGCGACACTCTCGATTGGCTTTGAACACCGTACGGTGCAAATCATGCGTGATAACTACACGGAGCGAACCGAAACAAATGGCTACTTGACCTTGAGTCATTGCAAGCAAGGCGTCATCGCACTTGTTTTCTTGTTTTTGCGTGTGCGGCTGAGTCATCTCGTCGCACCGTTTTCAGAGCGGAGTTGTCTGGGCAGAATGGGGTGTACGTGAAGGCGATAATAGCAAACACCCCACGCTACAAAACTACAACTCTGTCTTGAATACAGGTTTCCATCAACAGTCAATGTGATGTGAGCATGTACCGGGCAAGTTCGAGACAAACAAAATCCAACCCCCTCACCAATCACTGTTAAGCTGTTAACATCCAATCTCCAGTGGTAGACAAAACCCAGCAGCTCCACGTCGATAATAACCTGGCGTAAGGGGTGTAAGTGACTGGTTGTGCATGCATGTGCTTTGAGTCGCTTCATTGACCGCGTTAGTAAATTGCCTGAGAATAACATTTTGTGGAGGCGTGCAATGTTGCTTTCGTGCGTGGTCAAAACGTTGGTCAATGAAGTGGCACACTACATATGCAAACCCAAGAGGATCTGAGGTGTTAAATGACACCTCCTGAAGGGATAGGAGAGGATATCATTGGACCACTCAGCCAAACAATTCACTGAAGGCGATTGAGGCATTGCTTCGAATGTTGGGGCCGTCGTTGGTTGATGTCACGTTCGCACGGTAGGTTTCGCGAGGGAAGAATGGCTGAACCGCCGTCCCGCGAAACAAGCAAACCACGCTTCGCAGACAGGTTTCTCTGTGTGACCACCCACGGTGCCGGAAATATGGAGCGACGGAAAGTAGATAGAGGAAAATAGAACCGAAAGGCATCTACAAGCAAACGGTATGTCGCCTTCGTTCTTCGAAGGGGCCTTACGTGCCGTCTTCTCTTTCTCACTGGAGAGTGTCGACCCTGGGAAACGCAGATACTTCGTGCTTGTCACAAAATGGCGTTCGAGCCTGTCCACGGTTTCAGCAGCTAGATGTAAGCGGACGTGTTTTTCCTGCCCTCTACTGTACGTCTTGTAGGACGGATGCGTCAACCACGAATATAGTTCAATCTAAAACTGGATGCTTATTCTTGCGGACCCGTGCCTTACCAAGGTGAAGCATACCAGGGCGATGATCTTCCACCGACCCAATATGAAGACGCTGAAAACGGCCACTGCCACAAGAGCCATGACGAAGTTCATCATGAGCTCGTCGTAGATGACCAGAAACTGCCAGATTCGACCGTGGTGCGTGCGAGCTATTGTACGTCAAAGTTCCCATTGATTCGAGTTCGCCCGGAGTCTAATGATAGCCATCGAGTTCTTGCTATCCAATGACCACTGTACCTACCGAGCAACCAACATTTTGTATAACTGGCTCGGGGACACACAGAAGGCGCGTGTTTCCAATCTCATCCTGAGACCGGTTCTTCAGCAATCCTTCAATTTTCTCTACACCACCCACGTCCTTGACGACCACCAAAAGGGTAAAACGTCTCCTTCGACCACGACTCTTGGTCCTACTTTTGCGCCTCATTCGATGTTGTCATTGTGTCCCGTGGATCTTTCGCGACGACGTCGTTCACAATAGAACCAAGTCGTGCGCTCCCCACAATGGCCAACATCAGCGCCCGAGGCGCTGCACCGAAGTGAACTATTTAGCGTTTCTAGCAATGACGCTACCACGATAGATAGCCTGCTGCCCGTCCGCCCGCTACCGCACGCGCATATTACGCCAACAACCAACCTAAGTAGAATGGCTATGCGTATTTTATCGCGAGACCGGCGTTCAGGCCTATAGAAGTAGTTTTCGAGGGGCAAGCCTCAATCTCAAAGTTCCAAAACAGCCTCAGATGATGAACATTCGTCACCGTCTGTATTTTCTTCGGGTGGCAAACGATGTCAACCCTGTCGCGCCAAAGATTGAGAGATTGCTAGTCGATACGTGGTGGGGGCCACAAGAAAAACGATGGCGCACCTGTTCTGAAAAAACAAAGTATGCCGAAAAAGCGAGCGGCTGAGGGTCGAGGGTCGACTCGCCTACCACCTCCCTCGAGTCTTTGAGGGCGTTGATCCCGTTTTCCGTTGATGTTAGATCGATCAGATACATTGTCGTCCTGCTGATCTGTTCAGAAAGAAATTCCCACAAGACGCGAGTCACAGATAAAGAGCTGCAATGACAAGACGATCCT